TTTTTTTTTTGTCTTTATGCGATTTTTAGTGCCTATTCCTGCCTACTGCGCTTTTTTATTTAGCCTTTTTTATAGATTTTTAGTAAATCGTTGAAGTACTTACATATGTTAAGGAAATAATAGATATACTGTACCTAAATTTATTTATTTCATCATTACTTCCCCACTTAGGCGCCAACTTCGCTCCTTTACCAATCAAACATTCTTTCAATCAATCATTTAAAACTTTCTGTAGGCCATTATAAGGGTCCCTGACAATAAGAGAATAAAGAATTCATTCACTATTCAACTCAGTACGTAAAAAATATTTCGGCGTGTCCCTTCAGTTCAGATTCATACATGAGGTAGCTATAAAAAATTACTCATACGCCCTAGTGCACGCATTTATTTTAAACTCCACTATCACTAGGCTCGTAGACACGCGCTTACGTAATTGCTTGACTTTGGTTCATTATCGAAGTAATCGAATTGAGTTCTGCATACGTAAATAAATAAAGTTACATACATATGTACATACATGCATATATGCATAGTCATATCTGCATAGACTAAAATTCACGAACTCACAAACATAACCGGCTAGGTCACTGACTTGAAAGGCAAAAACAGCTCGGTATGTGGAGCAAAGCGATACAATTGATTTTAATTGATGACAATTTGCTATAGATGAGTGCAGCTAATCCCACTCAGCTATCAATTATTATTGGTAATGAATTTGCTAAAATAAGCACATGTACACAGAGGGTTATCCGAAAATTAAGTATGAAGTTGCGATCAATGCTGCCTTCGCTTCATTCATAAAGGTTGAAACTGTTTAAAAAAAAAATAAATAAAGCGTGAGGCTTCGAAATTGTGAGATATAAACTTTTTTATTGCTATATGCCGGCTATTTCCACACAATTCGGACCTCAATAATGTTTTTATTTGACATATACATATTTGCATACTGAATTTGCATTTATGTATGTAGTATATATTTGGCTTTAGCTTGGGAATATGTACATACATATGTATGTAAATATTTGTGTATTATTGATATTGACAACTTTATAAGTTAACTCTATTGCTTAATCGATCAAAGCTCTGCCGATATCAATGCCACACGTGAGCCCAATGCACTCATTGTCTGTATTTTCATTTATTATTATCTTATGTACATACATATGTATGTGTGTATGTATGTAGATATGTTTAAAGGCGTATGAAGGTAATAATAAGTAAAAGTAGCGCAGCACGTGCACGTGCAACTTAAATTGCCCTTCATTGAATATTTATCTAAAATTAGATATGACAATAAAACCCCGACGAAAGAGAAGGACGAAACATCAAAGCATCTATTTTATGAGCGCTTGGAGCGCACTTGCGAACGCACTTGCGAGCGTTGCCCCAGCAAAGCGTAAGCGTCTTGGCAGCCACGTCACAAGTAGATAATATTGTTTGCTTGGAAACCAGCGTTAATCCAACGAAGAATAGCTCTTGCCAACAAGTACTACTTTGGACTGAGTAGGCAATTGAGAAACAAAGTATTCTCTCGTCGCGCAAAAATCACACTCCATAAGTCACTAACAGCCTTATCGTCGGTGATACCCTTAGATGGATTTTTACTCGGACCAGAATGCATCTGCAAATCGTTGCATCCTAATAAACGAATGAAAAAACTGTCTACCTTTGGCTGATGAAGATGAACGATTGCCAGAAGCGATCAGATACAGATAAGAGATCAATTAAGCACCAAAGGTAATAGGTGACCTAGAAGGTTTTGCAGTATCACCGACGTTATGCTGTATCACGAACGATTCGTCTGCAGAGGAATGCTTTAAAAATTAGTCCGGTAACATCATTCTAGCCGGTTTAAACGCAACCGAGACCAATGCAACGTTGAATATGAAAAGCAAGACGAAGACGACCGATAGAGTAATAAAATCGCAATCAGAGACGTTGTCGTCTGCAGACGGAGCCTTCGTGTTGCCTATCGTTCGTGATACAGCATAAGGCTATAAAAATGCCTGTAGTGGTATACGGCGCAGCTCTTGGAGTATTCGAGAGAAAGATTCTGCAAAAGATTTACGGGCATTTGGGTTTTGGCGATGGCTAATACCGCAGACGAGGAACGATGAGCTTTATGAGCTTTTTAACTATATAGACATAGTGCGGCGAATTAAAATACAGCGGCTACGTTGGCATGGTCAGGTCGTTTGGATGGACATAAACGCTCCAGCTCTGATAGTATTCAACGCCGGTCGTAATGCTGGCAACAGAGGAAGAGGAAGGCCTCCACTGAGTTGTAAGGATCATGTGGAGAAGGGCTTGGCTTCAATTGGCATTTCCAATTGCCACCAGTAGGCACAGAAGAGAAACAACTGGCGTGATCTGTTAAAATCAGCAAAAATCGTTTAAGTGGTTACAGCGCCAATAAAGAAGAAAAAGAAGAAGAGTATACGTCACAAATTTGAACAGCCAATTGGCCTCTTCGTTAATGGCAGCTACCTAAATCTTCCTTGAAAATTTCAGAGAAGATGGATGACTCCCTGTTTCCTTCATGCTTCGACCCTTCCTTTAAAAGTTCGCCATTGATTCTTTCCAACCACTGCCCTGGTTTGCTAATAGAGTGGATTTCAATGGAAAACGAGTTAATTGCTGACCCCAATTGAGATCCCTATTAGGAGGGATAAAGTAAAAGCCTTCAAGAATACACACATGAGCCAGGAAATTAGCAATTTCTCCCTGCAGCAGTGAAAGCCATTGATGCTTTCTTCATTCGTTGCTCAAATTCATACTTCCCCGATAGCTTCTGTTCTGAAATCAAGTTCAAAATCTTGACACTGTCACGAGTTCTGTCGCATAGCAAGGAGGTGCAAATTCCATCATCGATGTCAGGAATGGCACCCACAGTGAAGTGCCGCTTTTTGGGATTCCTTCAGCATTTTAAGCAAAAGCGAAGAAAGACTAAATTATTGGAATCCCTAACCTTAGCTTTTTCTACCCTTTATGTTTCCAATCCGAATGTAATTTATACATCAGTGGTGCACATGTAAGCCCTACATATGTACATATCTGCAAGGTAAATTCATATAAAGTGGTATCCGAGAAAAGTTCGGTCAACGGTAAAGAGTCTAGAGGAGCTTCCCATTCATAAAGTCGCTGTTAGACGTGGCAAGTGCAAGCCCTTTTCAAAAGTCAGTCAAAATCAAAAGAGATTGCAGGAGCAGTTACACCTTGCATGTACATAAGTGACATTCGAAAGCACTTTTTATTTCTGAAAATCGAACTCTCCGATACTACTTTTTGCTGTTTAATGAAATGGCTAAGAAATTTTCTTGAGTCAAATTTCCTTAAGGCAGTACGCAGTTCTTAAGAAATTTACTACGCTTCCTACTACGGATTTCTAAAGTTTTTTGTGAAAAAAGAGCACAAGGCAACCCAGGTTTGCAACAGAAATATATGACCGTTCCATTATTTCTTGAGGAAAGAGTGAGGAAGCAGGCTGTGAGGTAACAAAAATGTCAAAATTCCTTGAACACACACGCGAAATAATGGCAATTTTTTCTTGACCGTTTTCTTGAGAGCTGCATACAGGGCTTTACACGGTGAATGCAGACAAGCCCACTTTCAATTATGTTACCAAGCATTTTTATGCTTATAACAAATTAATAACCTGAAAAATTTGCTAAATCTGCTAAAATGTGCAAAAAACAGTCACAAAATATATAATGCAATACTTAAATACTCCATATAAGTACAATGAATTAATTACACATATTTTTCATAGTTTATTTAACATTTTTTTATATTTTTTTACAAATTCGCCAAAAAACGCGTCACACGGCAACACTTGATTAGTTTGACAGCACTTGCAGCAAAAATTAAAATTGCTAGTGCAGCACGAGCAAGTTGAACTTATTTCTCGAAAAGGATTTGCATGATTTGTGATTTCTGCAAATATGCAAACGAGGACTTTCTGGTTTACACGGGAAAGTAGACTTTCGATTTGTCTTTTTTTTATATTTTGTTATTTATTATTTTAAAATTAAAAAAACAGTTAGCAGCCACTGTTAACATAACATTCTGAGAACTGTTAAATTCACTTAAAATCATTTTACCCGCTAGATGTCTCTTTAATCGTCATATTTTCTCAGCAATTGTTTCGCCTTTTTCGTAAACATCAGCTGCAGAGTCAGCTGTTCACTGCTGGCAGTCGAAAGCTGAAATAAAAATAAAGAAGTTAATTGCATTGCGCGATAAATTGTCGATAAAACCATCACAAAAATAAAGTATACAGATAAAAGCAAAAACAAACAGTTAAAAGAATCAATACAATAAATGAATAATTACAAAACGCCTCAGTCGTTATCAGGCTGTGTAAGTTGAATCGTCGCTGTAGGGGGCATTTAACGCACTGCGGCATTGCTCATCTGACGTAGTAATTTAATTTTTCTATATAATTGTTATTGTAGGATTAGTTTGCATTGATTAAGTTCTGAAATTTTAGAACACATCATCTAATGTTTCGTTTCGTTCCAGTAGTTGTTGCAATTATCCATCTTATTATCTCTGTCTTAGCCAAGAAAACTACTTTAATTTTGGACATTTGAGCGCTGGCAACTGGTCGCAACAGCAAAACCGCTTCTCAGAAGCCAACAACTGCAATGGCAATGCCAACGATGCACTGTTTGATTTCTGCCACAACCTAGGCAACGAGACAAACTATCTAACCGGCAGCTTTAACAACTTACAATTACCGACGACGTCCTGGCGCTCCTTGGATCAAAATATCGATACAGCGCCTTCAAGCAGCTGTTACAACTCTGCACAATATTTAAACGAAATGAACAACGATAGACGCACTGGTGGTACTGGCGTTAGTGCTACCACATCCACTACCAATTCGATACACTCCATTAATAATTCTTCGTCTCGAATTCATCGTGTGCATTCAAGGCTCGGTCAATTGAACCCACTTTTTCATAAAAGGGAAAAAGCGGAAGATGAAAATGCGTTACCACCATATCTAGTCAAACAGGCACGCAAAACAGGGGCATTGCAGCTGAGCGGCAAAGGCTTAACCACAGGTTAGTATTCAAACCGATTCAACTCATGTCCGCATTTCTTTAAATTTGCACAACAACACAAAGCAAACTGAAAATCAATAACTCGTCCTTAAGAATGTTACTGTATGCGTCACCATGTTTGCCAGTAAGTAGTACACACCAGTGAGTTTTTCTCAACCGGTTGTAAGTTCTATGTGCCGGACGTGTATTCTTACAAAGGTCATTTGCTAGTTGATATTTATGGTCTGTCTGAATTTGAGTGTAAAATATTTAGTAGAGAATAACACCTATATGCTATCAATAGTTCGCATAAGCAATATAATAAAAATATTACACTTACAAGGCAGATAAGCACACAGGCATAATCTAATTATTTTTGTACAAGAAAATTATATCTGTTTGCTCTGGAGTGTACTAAATTGCATAAAGGTGAAAAAAGTTTTAGAAGTAAGTACACACATATGTATGTATGTATATTTGTTTCGCGAAACAACAAATATTTAATAGAAAATATATAATTAGCCTAAAAAGTGTATTTCTAAAATGTCCAAATAAACCATTTTATGCCGTCTTACACAAATCCATTTTGATACACAAACTTCCTGTTTAATTGCGCGATTTAGCATTACTTATTGTCCTCTTTTGAGCAGCTCGCCATAATTGTAAACTTTATGCTTTGAAGCTATTTGTGTCAACTGTTACTTGTCTGCGGCGTATGCTGACATCAACAACTTACCAAATTGGGCTACCAAGTGCAATGAGTACAACGAGCATGTATGAATTTGCTTTTGAATGCATTTATTTCATTGAACTTGACAGTGAATTTACAAGAGGAATTGATTAGCTCTACATACTACATACACGCATACATACATACATAGATATGTCTACATATACGATAACTTGATATATGTAAATATATGCATATATTTATATTTTTTTATTTAAAACTGCAAAGTATCACATTACATCACCTAAGACTGTGTTGTAAATAATATAACCCATTTATGGTAAAAGCAAATTTCATGCTCAGCTAACCATCACAATTGTTCTGCTTAGTTTTAGACATATATGAATGTAAATTTTCTTGCAAAAAATTAACATTAATGCAAAATTCACAATGCATTGACACAGTTAAGAATTATCTGTTTAAGCGCGAGGTTGCATATTTTGTGGCTGATTGGCCAGTTTTAAGTGCATCCTGTCAAGAAATAATTTTTCGAAGTCCAACTTAACAAAAATAATCCTTCAAAATTGCGTCCTTAAAGCAGTCGCGCAAAAAGCTCACATCATTTTGTATGTGTGGTCCAGCGCATCGGCGCTTATACTATCACATACGCGAATATCGCATGGCTTCCTCGACCAGCGAGCAAGAAACAGAAGATGAAATCGAACAGAAAGTCGTGGCACCTTTGCCGATAGAGCGTAAATTGATTTATTGAACTAAATGCTAAATGTTTCGTGTTTAAAATAAAACAACAATCAAATAATACATATATCTTTTATATTACTATGTGATAATTGAGTTGATTGTGTCTTTTATGTGCTTTTTGTATTTATTTAACTCAAGAAAAATTTAAATACATACATACATATTTAATGAAAAACTTATGATTTCAACATTATAGTGCCTGATCAAATTTACCAAATAAATGACATTGATAAAGATTTGCCAACCTCGCTAGAGCAGCTAACAGTCAAGGAAGAAGATGCTTGGTGGAATCAAATGCCTCTAACGAATTTAGACTTAAGTTCTAATGCCCTGACGCATTTGTCGCCGAAAATAGAAAATCTCGATACCTTAACCACATTGACGGTAAGTATGTTAATGTTCACAAAAATTCCTAAAAGACACAAAAGATTCCAAAATGTTTCCAAAAACAACCGATAAATCCTGAAAAAGCACTAAGGATTGCAAAAAGTCTGAATATATCCCAAAAAAAATTACGAAAAGTCCGAGAAAAAAAGAAACACTAGAAACCCTAAAAAGTTAAAAACTTAACTTTAATTTTTTTTATTGTTATATCTTACTGAAAATGGTCTTTTTTAAGGTACAAATTCATTTGTAATAACATATCTCCTGCCCTGTTTGAAAGCTTACTTATTTAACAATGTCCCTTCATATTTGTGTCTCATATTTGTATACAGTTATTTTTAAAATATCTACTAACACCGAATTTTTTATATATATTTTTATGCAGCTTCACGACAACTTACTCACCAGTCTTCCCAGAGAAATTTGTAGGTTGGAGAAGCTAGTACGTGTAAATCTAAGTCGAAACAAGTTGAGGGAGTTGCCTGTTGATTTTTATTCGTTACCTGAGTTGCGTTACTTGAACATATCGTACAATGAATTTGAAGAACTACATCCCAGTCTAAGTGATTTGCACATGTTGGAGTATTTGGTATGTAACGAATTAATTAACCACTTAACATACATATAATTATTTTACCACAACCGTATATACGCGTGTATACAGTTGAACTGCAGTAAACACGTGTACAAGTGTATTCAAAAAATTATACGCAAATCGAAATATATTATTAATCTACATTGATTATAAATAACACTAATTGTAGTCGTACTCATTTTTTTTTAGTACCCATATTAATATACAGATACGCACAAAGACATTGTAGATATCATTAAACCGTGCAACGGTCAACTTTGCACACACAAAAAAACCAATGTGCCTGCGTAACTAGGGACCAAAAAGTAAAATTGCGTTTTTAGTTTTTTCTCTCCAACGTCTGGATTTTCTTCAAAAGAGGACTTTGGAATTTCAAGAATATGATTAACTCTAAAAAATTATTTTAAAAATTTAGTGTAGGTAACGAAAGGAATGAAAATTCTGTAAAATTTAACAAATTAAAATTTTTTAGTGAACAAGAATAAACAGATATTTAAAATGTCCTTTTAAAATTTTATCGCCGAATATCCTTGGAAATTCCCACTAGTTATTTTGAAAATAATATATCCTCCAATTGCGCCCTTCTTTATTAGTTTAGGATAAAAAAAATAATGGCAATGGCACTTTCAATACCTACTCCTCCTTCTGAACAAAAAAAAAAAAGATTTTTTGTCTACATAATTTTCGCTTTCACGTACTTATTCTACATTGCACTGATTTGTTTTAGTATTTTTAATGAATCAAAGCCTTAAAATTTCAAAGTCCTTTAAAAGAAAAACCTGACGTCAGAGAAAAAAACTAAAAACACGGTTTTACTATATTAGTTCCCTAGTTTTGCAAGTATATGGATTTTTTCGCGTGCCTTGAAATTGTTTGGTTTTTGTCGCACGCTGTTATAACGATTACGCATAGGTGAAAATATAAAAATGTTGTGACATTACTTGGATCTAAAAATATCAAATATTCTGAAAACAATAATTTTGACCTAATAACTTTTCTTATCAACAATTATACTTATACTAATTATTTAAATTAAGTTCATTTAAACTAAGAAGTGTGATTTTAAATTAATGCAATTCATTGAACAGTTCATTCATAACAATTTTTTATACTTTTTATAAAACTGAAATCAATAAATATACCCACATACCTACTATACATTTATATGTACATTTTATATATTTACTATGAATTTAATATATATACATATATACCTATATATGCAATTAAATCACTTTAAGCATTAATAATTACTAATATAAAACGCTTCGGCTTACGGTTTATGGTGTATAATTTTTTTCCACTAAAAGGATGCTTCACATAATTCACTTACGGCGCTGCCCAATGGTATTGGTTTTCTAGTGCGCGTATCTGAGCTTTTACTCTCATATAACCACATAAAAGAACTGCCTTCAGATCTGGTCAATATGCGATGTAAGTTGATTGTTTAACAAAATAAATTCTTCTTTCAATTTCTCCACATATGCATATACATATGTATACTAATAAAGGTTGTAAATAACAAATGTATAATTACTTTTACTATACTAAAGCGTTACAAAAATTGGACCTGAATCATAATGACTTGATTTCTCTACCCGAGGATATGGGCAGTCTACGTAAATTATTGTGTTTATACCTACAGCATAATGATATAACACAACTACCGAACTTTGAGGGCAGTCAGAATCTGCAGGAGTTATATGCTGCCAATAATTTAATTGCGGTAAGCAAACTTTAGTTTTAGAAACTGTTTATGCTTAAAACTTTTGCTATGAAATCAGTTCAGTAGTAGTAGTTGCAGGATTCTTTATTTCTTCAATGAAATAGCAATGTAATAGTTTTACAAAAATTTTTTTTTTAATAACTATAAATTATTGGAAAAAATTAAAAATGACTGACAGTACTAAAATCTTTTTGGTACTCTAATAACACTGTAGCGAGCAACGCATACATATGTATTTGAGATGACAAAAAAACACCGAAACAAGTAAACTTAACTTTGAGTCGTAGATTACGAATCTGTATTCTGTTTTTCAAGATCAGGTAATTTTCCCAAGATATTCTTATGAAAAAAATACAAATATTAACAGGGAAAAACTAAAAATACAAATGAAAAAAAAAAACAAAAAATCAGTTCTGTGTTCGTATGGAAAAGTAGCTTACAGTGCCGAACAGAAGTATTGGCACAGTGAATTTTTCGCAATATTTGCAAAGTTTTTTATTCTAATTTATTTTCGATAATTTTTTATAAAAATATAGTTAATTTTACACCAAAAAACATAGAAATAAAATCTCTAAACGTTGTGCAAAACTCAGGAATCTTCAATTTCTTTGCACACGTTGAACGACGTTTGGCAAATAAACGTGCAAGAAATAGTTCTGATACTAGCAAATCAATATTCTTATTAAGTAAGTCTTATCAACAAATTCCTTGCCGTTTAAAGAATAAGGGAATGAATGCCGCATTATACTAAAGCCGGCCCTTCGCCATAAGCTACTTTTCCATACAAACACAGAATTGATTTTTTGTGTTTTTTTTTCATTCGTATTAAAGCCTTTTCTTTTACAAAAAGAAAATAATGGTACTAACGTAGAAGATCCATGTATAAATACAAAAAAGTGAATTGTCAAAGGAAAACGCGTAATGATTTTTAATGATGTTGCTCATACGCCATGGCTTAATCTGTTGTACGTCCTGTTGGTCTTCTTTGCCCTATCTATACGCAATTAATGATTATGCGCTTCCAGAGCGTCTAGAAGCTACGCACGGCCGCAAATTGTTCCTCAACTAAATTATTTTCCGCCCCAAACCTGCGCTGCATAGCCTTGGATAGCTCTGCATACGATCAAAGAAACCTTCCATTTCCAACACCAACACCTTTACACTTTCTGTAACGCTGGCCAAATACCGTTTTCGGAGTCATTGTTACACCTAGGTAGGAGTACTCATGAGCAACTTTCTCCTACTTCCCCATTAAAGAGACACATTTCATCATTGCCAACCTTTTCCTTATTTCTTCTGAAAATCATCATTTTTGATTTTTCGATCTTGACTTTTATTACTTGTAAGTTTTCCTAGCATTATGCTTCGCATGCATAAGAAACCGTACAACTTTTCAATAAACCTCACTGCCTCAAAAGTTTAATTATGTGTTGATATTTACAGGCCTATTCTGCATTAGTAATAAAAATTTTGCGATCGGTAAATAAAGTTCCTGCCAATTTTAAACCCTTTTCGCACCCTGCGCACTCTTGCATCCAAAAAATTTTGTTACCATCTCAAAGGCAGGTAGCAAAATATTGCCCCGTGATGTGTGCAACACCAGATTTCTACAAAACTTAATTGCTGAATAAATTAAATGTTACAAAGGTACCTGGCATTGCGGCTACAAGAAGTGCTGTCAATGTTTGGTAACAAAATTTTCTGATTACAAAATGTGCGGCAGCAGAATAGGCATGTGAATGTATCACAGTTAACTATAGAAATTCGTAGCACCTTAAATTAGGCTACTACTACTATTCATATATGGCTGTGAAAATCTATAAAATAAATTCATAGTGCCAAGTATTCGAATACGAATGATTAGCGTTTCTAATCGCAATATAGAGTAGTCCCCTGGACTCTTCTCTGAGTTCTTTCGTTCAGCACCCAACTATCTACTTACTGTATTATAATTTTCAATTTAAACATACTTTTCTTTTTATAGAAACTACCAGAGAGTTTTTGCTCAAACTTGCCACATTTGAAAATTCTCGATTTGCGCGACAACAAAATTACGAAAATCCCAGAGGAAATTTCGCTTCTGAAAAATCTTATTCGGCTCGACTTTACCAACAATTCCATTAGCAATCTGCCATTGTCGTTGGCTTCATTGGCGCATTTGGTTAATTTGCAAATCGACGGCAATCCGATCAAGTCAATCCGACGCGATATACTACAGTGCGGTACAACGCGTATTCTGCGAACTTTGCGTGAACGTGCGCGCGCCGCTGCCGAGAAGCAACAACGCTTGCATCAAGGCGACACAGCTTCCGTATCAGCGACATCCTCGGCAGCATCATTTATATCTACCAATTCAGCTACAATGGGTGCAGACGGTTTAAATAGCCCGCGACGTCCGCCTGGCGGTTGTGATGAAGATACAATATTTCCTGATAAGTGAGTTTCTGATTTACTTATTATGTATTTAGTGTAGTGTTATCTTCAGTGGCTTGTGTTTTGTGCATCTTTTTTTTGTGTGTGTATGTGTGACTGAGTGTGCCCAACCCCCTCCTTTCCCATATAGACTTTATACATCCATTTATGCAAATGTGAATTTGGATCAACCGAGCGGAACTCAAGAACAAACCCATACGATGCATTCAATGCAGCAATGCGCATTCAATTATAATAGCTATCAATATATGAAAATGGATATATCCAAATTTGTAAATCCAAATTTCGCTTTCAATAACTGCTATGGCCCATTTACATCTGCCAATGATCCGCATTATCCAATATATGAACAGCCAATGCCGTATCAAGATCCGCACGGTCGTGGCGGCTACAGTATTTATTCGCAAAATGTTCTTTAATTACCTCTTGGCTGGTTAATATGTACAAACATAATCGACTCGTGCTTGAAATTTCAGATATAAGATGAGAAACACACACACATTGAATGTGACAATGCAGTACCTAACTACAGTGCCTGATGAGGTGTTTCAAACGGCCGCAGAAGAGCACGTCAGCTGTGTAGATCTCTCCAAAAATCGTTTGGAAAAGTTACCTGACGCGTAAGTATTACTCAACTGTAGATCAATTTACTATATATGTACATATGTATATATGGACATATCTACTAGTAGAAAAGCTTAGAGAAGAATTTTTTCCTCGATGAAAAATTTGAATAATTTAAATTAGCATTAAAACATCGAAAAGGCCTGTGAGCGAGTTTTTGATTCTTTAGAAAAAGAGGTCTTTGTTTTTTGTTCCATAAAAGCCCAAATCAAAGGATGGGTAAACGGACGGACGTTATATTTTCTAATTAAAATTTATAGTATTAAAAGTAGATATTTCAGATGAATAAAATAAAGGTACTCAAAAAAGTTAATTCTCTAATACCCATATATGTAAATATGAACTAACGAACCCGCGTGACATTAAAACGCCAAAATTTAATGTAACAATTTAAAAAATACTTCAAACTTTAGTTACAGTTATAAGTGATCCATGTGCCAAATTTTAATCGAAATCCGTCCAACCGTTTCCGAGTAGAGAAAAGTCCTGCATAGTTATTTCTCGCGTATTTTAAATCACAAATAAAAAAGTTCTAGTTTCAAAAAACAAAACGTTATTTCACATCTCAAGCTCTTTAATTTGACATCCCATTTTTTGAAATTCGAGACAACGGTGCAAATCTGATGACCTTCATAAAAAATGCATTTGCATATTATATATATACATAGTTAGATATAAATTTTCGAATAGGTGGCAATCGTAATCAAAACTATTTTCCAACTAAAGCTTTCATTGTGCATAAGTCAACTAAATTCGACATTTCAAACAGATGGCAACCATTTTCGAAAGTATTTTCAAACTTAAATCTTAAATTTCTTTCGTCTGGCATTGGGTTACATATTCCTATTAGCTGATGAATTAAGTTGAATTTGATTTAACAATTAATATAGCTGCCAAGTTCTGCTCCGACAAATGGTATCGCAAATCTCTAAGAGTAAGCTTAGTGCTGAGAACGCGCGTCCTACACTGACTTGTGTCGCTGGCACTTGATGTATAATACATGCTAGATCTCTTAGTCGGGGATATATACATTTCTTTAGTCTCTCAGTAATCCATAAGGTCCGTACCAACATCAATGCGCTTCTCCCTATAGGTGCCTATTTTCATAAATGCTTTTCGAACGTAATCTTCGGAAAAAGTAAAACTCAAGTTTAAGCTTTTATATTTGACAGAAAAAATAAAAGTAAATTCGTATTTTTTATTTTTGACTGAAAACATATCGGTGAAAAAATAACTGTAATTTTTTTTACTTTTTTGAAAAAAATGCAATACCGTTACGGTCCCATAAGTAGATAACATTTTCCATGTTTCATTTCATTTCATTTATTAAATGTATAACCGCAACAAATTGCTAATTTAAATATAGACAAAGAGAAAAGCATACATACATACATTTGCAAACTTAAGAATAAAAACAAGGACAAATAAATAAACTAACATTATAATTATAATCCCTAAACAATAAAGATTAAGAGTACTAAGGAATACGATAAGAAATAAAAACATACATAGATAGAAAATAAATTAAGAATGTTGATAAAGATTGATAGATAAAGATAGATGGCCAGTCCATTCAAAACATTATTTCTTAAAATGTGCGTAAATAGATTACTTAAAGTTGCTTCTGCTTAGACTACTTCTTACACCAGCAGGGATAGAGTTCCACAAACCTATAGCGTTGACGAAGAACAGTCTCTCTGATGCTAACGTACTAAAGTGAGGGACAATTAGATCTGTTACCCGTACAGACCTAGTAAATACTAACTTATTAATAAGGTAACCTGGAGATTCCATAGCAATCAGTCTATATAGAAAAACACAGTTTCGGACTTTCAAATACTCTGATATTTCATAACCCAAGAGGGTACACTTCCACGGCGATATATGCTCGAACTTTGTGAGACCATACAAATAACGGGTTACATTATTAAACAAAATATCAACCTTGCGCATCGAGTTGCTATCAAGCTTGCTGTAAACTACCTCAGCGTATGTGATTTGCGGCATTATTATTTGTAGGGACCCGAAATTAAGTTTACGTGTCTCGGTGTTTTCTTGTACCATTTTAGCGTCCCTACAGTGCGCACGCCATGCAATGGAAAAATTTCCAATGCTCGGAAAAGAGGGCGAATCAAAGACTCAACACTTAGATGTCGAGTAATGCAAGCCATGGCTTCTAAAACTGACCATAATTTATATTCAAATCGATTTGAGGTCTCGGCTACCAGATGGTTAACCAGCTGTAAAAATTAAGTTCGGAACACGATTTGGTGTAGTTTTTGAACCTTCGGAACTAGTCCGGATGCATGTCGTGCTGACGTAGTAGAGCAGAGAAGTCCATTGAACGATTCTTTCACAGTGAAAATTTCTGGTGGGTAAATTCGTCTCGAGAATATTTTTCCTGCTCACGACCACGTTGTTGTTTGAAGAACCAGCACATTCGAATCTGAAGCAGTTGGATACATCCCGGAAAGTGAAATTTGACTTGATGTATTTAAGGAGTCGCCGACGGACACTATATGTTATATATATATATATATATATATATATATATGATATATATGTAGTAAGTTGTTGTTTCTTGTGGCTAGAATTCAATGAACATGACTGAGTTTTCAGAGTTCTGTATAGAAGAACCATAAAATTGCCAAGATTTGTCTAGTCATGTGTCTTTGAGGCCTGAGATCCCCATTTTAGCAAAGCAGGGAGTGGGGACTGAAGGTAATCAGAGAGTGATGATATAGTAATGGCCTAGATGCGTCAATTAAGGACTCACCACGTTCGTCGTCCGTAGTTTTCCCCCATGTTGGGTGCCTAGCATTCGCAACGCAACCGATAAAAGTGTTTAGTTTGGGTCAGTTCGTAAATGCATTACTGCGGCATCATTGCAAAAATCAGTCAGTATTTGTAAACTAAAATTGATAGAAATGCCCAGCATGCGTAAACACAGCTAAACGCAGAAACCTTGAACTATACGCGGTTTATGAATAAAGTTTAAGTAAAGAGTTTAATTCTTTGCAGTAATACTGTGGGTTGCATTTACTACAAACTTCCGGTCTATGCTTTAATGAAAACAATTCATTGTTTTTTTTTTTTAAGAAATTAGTTGCAATTAAGCGACCGAACTCTTATCGATGTTGTCTATTTTTTAACTGAAAGTAAAGAGTTTCTAAGTACTAACCATTTTCATCTACTCTCCTTTTTAATATATCCTAGACTTCAACTCCTCAAGGGCAGTGCCAGCGAGTTGGTTTTCGCCAATAATCAATTAACCAAAGTGCCAACATTTTTGTCGCAATTCACGCGGCTAACTCTGCTCAACTTATCGTGTAATCAACTCTCTGACCTTCCGAGCGAGCTGGGTGTGCTCAACACATTGCGAGAATTGAACATTTGTAATAATCGGTAAGTACTTGAGCAAAGAACTAGGCTTTAGGTGTTTACTAATTTCTAATGCACACACTGTTACATAATCAAATTATTCCTTCCTCTGGCATTTTAGCTTTGACCATATACCGAGCTGTCTCTATCAAACACAAAATCTTGAAATTTTCTTAGCCAGCGACAATCGTATCAAGCATATCGACGCCACACCGGAGGGCTTGGGCGCTTTGAAGCGGCTCACCATCTTAGATTTACGTAACAACAACATTGAACAAGTGCCACCCGTACTTGGTAATCTCAAAAACATTGTGTAAGTTGTCTTCTAATTACATATGTGCATATGTATATATTTTCTTCTAATTATATTGTTTCGCTTGCAGTACTCTGGAGCTGCTTGGTAATCCATTCCGTCAACCGCGTCATCAAATACTTGTCAAAGGCACGGATGCTATCATGTCGTATTTGCGTGATCGTATACCGGCTTAGCGCCGACGTACGGAAGTCTTTTTTCTTCATTTTAGAGTAGAGCGTAGCTTGAAAATCTTTAGTTACAAAATGGAAAATGTTAATTTTGATAGTCGCGAGAGATTTGCTCGATATTGCTAATTTTTTTATGAAATTAACTCAGCCGCTGTTGGCATGCGTGAGCATCGGCGTAGATCACGTTTTCAAAAGCAGTTGGGCTGTTTTATTTTGGGGAATTTTATTTGTGAGAACAGAATATGCAATACTTTTACAGGATACATACAGACATACTATGTACTTGATGATGTACTCTTAAAAAAAAGAAAATACATTTTTTTCGCAATGCAAAGGTTTCATCTATGCACCAAACATTGTTTGTATAGTGTGATTTATGCGCAAAAAAATATTGTTTATTAATTACTAATTCATTACACTAGTCATCATGTGCAATATGCGGAACGCGCCCGTGCACACATAGCTGGAAACTTTGTTAGAAAATATATTTTTTGTGCCGTAAAAATTTAATACATATACGAAATTTGCACTCGCATAAAACATGGCTAGCACTTAATGTGTAAAACAGAAAGTACCCTTTTAATCTAAGTATAGCTTTTAAATGTTAAAATATAAACTCAAAACTGTAATGCCAAACACTAATAAAAACCAAAGCCTTCATATAAAGCTTCTAAGCATGTATTTAATTTGCATACAAAATATTTAAAAATGAATGGGTCGATTATGGATGGCAATGCAACCTGCATTGTGTTGCCGTTGGGCAACGCCACTTAAATTAAAATGAACAGAGATATTAAAAGTACTTGTTAAATAATATTTAAATAATAAGACTGGCGCTCACACCAAACGTTAATGCTTGGCGGAGCTTCTCCGATTTGTGGCGTAAATACGCCTTGATGTTGTCACACAAAGGGTAGGGACCTAGAGTGTTTTTTATCGCAGAATACAGTTGGAGGTTTACCTGCCGAGTGACGGCCGTCATTAGAAAAGAACTTGTTTATGTTTTTTTTTTTTTGATGTTGTCGGAAACTTGGCCCGAACCCAGGCACTGCAAATTTGGTAGCGCGCACTGCTAACAGCTTATGAATATCAACTATAATTAATTGTTATAAAGTTAAAGACAATAGAATTTTGCAGTATCAGCAACCGAGATTTGAGTGTAAATAAGTCGCAAAAAAATTAAATAAAAATAAATACAAGTTTTCGATGCAACCACGAAAATGCAGTGACCAGCCTTTAGTTCATCTGTAATACAATTTCAGCCACCGGTATCGCAACCGATGTTCGGTTGCCATCTGTAATCGACCCATTAGAAAACAAAGACATTTCTTCCCTTTAAGAAAATTTAAAAATTTCTACCGGTGGGCGGTGTCACAACCCGTTGTATTGTTGACTAATTGGCGGAAAATTCTTCCTTTCGTCCGGTGGCGAAATTAAAAAATGGTAGGCAAAATTCAATGCTTTGGCAGCTTATATAATTCTCTCAATGTTTCAATCGCCCACTCAGCGCATACATATGTATGGACATACATATCGTCAGCTGAAATGCGAAAAGACGTAACAACATCGTAGATGAAATGGAAAAAGTCGTGACTAATATTTTAATTTTTTTTTTTATAAAATGATGTGGGAAGTTGTAATTCGATGAAATCCATCATATAAATCAAAAAGTGAATTTTGAAATTTTTATTAATTATAACTTTTTGCCTATCAACGATGATGTTTGTTAAGTCTTTTTGCATTTCAGGTGACGATATGTTAACTAAAATTTGTATCATACCAGATCCGTTAATTGATTAACCTTATTAGGAATAGAATATAAACATATGGTTGAAAATTTTTCTTTTTAACGTTACGGGTAACATTGTTTCCTATCTTTTGTTGTTTTAAAGATAATTGTGGTTTTAGATGGTCTTTAACGTTACATTTTTTTTGGCGAATGCTGCAAAGTTAAAAAATCAACTAAAAAATTTTAATAAAAATCAGGCTTCAAAGAAACTATGAAAATATATTAAATTTTAGATAATACAAGTTTGTAACAAATCTATAAACCGAAATATGCAGTTTTAACGTTACTTACCATACTCCACATTACTTGCACATTATACTAAAATTTAATAGGCTACCAAACTGATGAAAATTCGTTAAATTTTTCTAATTACTATTTAATGTTTGAGATTTTGATTTATGTATGTATGTATATGGTTTTGGTTAAAGCATGAACCATATTTTTATGAAAAAATAACATAAGAATTTTGACTTTAAAATCCTTTCGAATATTTAATAAAAATCATCGGGTACTCATTTCTGCTCTACGACTTTGCGTAACATCGATCGAACCAGATTTATAACTGACCAAAACCCGTCATGTCAGCAGCATTCCTTACAACTTCTTGACAAAAATACTGGTTTATGAAAAATATAAAATATAAATTAGATCGTGGGAAGGCGATTCAAATCTCTTTTGAGGGCACCAATGCATCATCTAACTATGATATAGTCGCTACCTAGGGGCAGGGATAAAGTGAAAAAATCCGGCAACAAAAAAAAATCACAGAAATCAACGGGATGTTTTAGCCGTTTGAAACTTGCACTTCATTAGACTAAAAATTGCGTACCCAAAAATGTTCTAAAGAATCAGATTAAAAGGTTGAAATTTTGATGAAAATTTGTGGAATTTTTTTCTCCTAAATTTTGTATAAAATTTGTAATTGTGATTTATGTGGTGTTTGTTAAAGCTTAAACGGTATTTTTATAGAAAAATAACAAAAAAAAAATGCTTGAAAAACATTACGAATATTTAAAAAAAAATCAATACGTGGTCATTTGTTTGAGTCACGCATAACTGCGTACTTAGTTTTTCTCTCTAGCGTCAGGATATTTTTAAAAGGACTTTGGAATTTAAAAAATATGATTATTTTAAATTTTTTTTTTTAATTCAGTGCTATGTAGTTTAAAGATAAGGCTATCAAATATAAGAAAAAATTCTGTAGAATTAAAACAGAATAAATTCGTTGGTGCATAAGTACGAACGGGTATGGAAAAGTCCTTTAAAAAATGTGTCCTTAAAAATCCTTGAAAATTACTTGAAAAGACAAAATTGATTAAAATTATTTAACCATAAAACTTTATTGTGTTTTTAAATTCAACAGAATTCTCTCTTTCATTTGGTACCCATAATGTTATTCTACATTGCACTAATTTTATTAAATAATTTTTTGAATTAATCGTATCTTTAGAATTTCAAAGTCCTTTGAAATTTTTTTAACTTAAGGTGTTGTATCGTTTTTTGAAATTTGGCAAGTGAATTTGCCAAGCTATTGATTTAGATACTAAGCTGATCTTTTCATAGAGGTTTAAAGGAATCCTGTCCTCTAGCTGCGAAGACCCCTCGTTTTACCAAAGACCCGTTTACATTGCCAGAATGATATTAAGAATTCGGAAATCTTCTTCTCAACGTGAGACTTCGATGAAAGTTTACTATATCTAGGATTACACCTGCATATGTAAATACTTTACTTCGGAAGAATTCTGAATACGGGTATTACTCATTTATTGCACTAAAAAGTGAAAAAGTACAATTTTTAGCTAATTACAACCTTACTTAATAGCTTTTTCTACTCATGTTCCACCACCTCGGCCCGCAAACGTTTAGCCAAGGTCTTACGCAATTGCAACGCCGAACTCTGCGGCTCACCTTCACCTGCGCCTTCACCAACGTTTTCCTTTTCTAGCAGCTCGGTGGCTTTACCGCCGTTTTCCAGCAATTTCTGCGCCACTTGTGCTGAGGACGGACGTCCAGTAGACGCCTGACTGGTAGCACTTTTGCGCGCCACCGTTTCGAGCAGCTGCTTGGCGCGTGTCTTTTTCTTAATTTCAACAATTTTATCACGTTGCTGGCGAAGGTATTCCTGACGCGACACAACATCATCGGGATCAATCTGCGGAAATAATTCCGATTCAGAAAAGTTGGTTTCATAAAACAAAAATTTTAAATCTTTTTAGGGTAGTTTTCACACTGCCAATTGTGAGTTAACTGTGCACCGTGAAAACGAAACTTATGTAAATGCTAACCCTTTGGTTGTCGAAGAATAAATTCAAACGCGCAAATTTTTCGTTCACGCTTGAGTCTACACTCTCCGGTTCAGGGGTTACTGCCGCTTCTGGGCTTTCCAGTTCCTTCTCCAAGGACTTCGCTATAAAATTCTCGACTTCATCATATTTTTCACTGGAATTAGTCAAATGTAGTATACAGCGAAAGCGAGAGATTTTAAAAGAAAAAGCACTAACCAATGAGAACTACTGGTTTCCGTGGAGCTGGCATTGTCAGCGGGTTCGCTCTCCTGCAGCAGAGCTAATTGATTTTTCTCAATCAAATCCAACGCCTGCAGTTGTAACTCCACATTCCGTTGGGTCATCATGCGTATAAACATTTTTATATCATTGGCTGCCCAAATCTGCAATGCGAGAACGGTTCAAAAGGACCCAGATAAAGTTAGTATGCATGTAAGCATGTAAGTGCCAAAATAACGCATACACCTGCTGAAAAAGACCCTGGTGAAAGTGCAAATGATTGTCCGGGTTTCGGCCTTCCATGCAAGCCGTCTCAAATTGTTCCGGTGTAATTTGCATTTCTTCCATAAAGCTGCCCAGCATGTAGTCTACTAGATTCTTGTACTCATTATGTATGGCCACAATGTCGGAATTATTCTCATCAATTTGCATATTGGGATCGAAAACTGCGCCGCCGAAAAGTATGCAAAAAAGGCTTGCAGTCAGAATCTTCTAAATTACTGAAAACCGCACAAAATACCTAATGATTTCTCCTCGATGAACGTCTGAAGTGGCGCATTCCAAACAGGTCCATGTAGAAAGCACACCAGCGAATCTAACACCCACGAGTCTTCAGTCATGTTGGAATTTTTGCAAAAAATTTTTAATTTTTTTTTGCGTAACGTCCTTAGGTCAACTAATTTGAGCAGCAACTCAAATCGAATGACTGATTTTTCACTAAAGCACCATTGCGACGGAAATTACATTTGTTGTGTCCTAGGCTTTTTAGCAAGGTGTTGTCAGGACAACCATTTGTATACCTTTGTATACAGGAAAACGTGCATAGCTCGAAAAATTAAGAGCCAACTATTTTGTAATATCAAGTTTTTTTTCGAAAAAAATCGTTTCGCTGCTATAACCTCTTATAATACCCTTTTTGTCTCTTAATTACGAGAAACGGAGAGAAGTAATCTCGAATTATCGCCTGATTCAGTCTATTTTTTATGCCAAAATTAGGAACCGAATTATATGTTCTTATATAAGTTTACTGGGTTTCGAGGTGTAACCTATCCAAGTTCCACTGTGCGACGACCGCCTTTGTACATACAGTGCCGAACAGAAGTATTGGCAGTGATTTGTTCGCAATATATGTGACCTGGTCAACGAAAAGGGAGCTCACGTGCGAAAACTAGTTTTCTGTGAAAAAGCTGTTAAAAGTAAGCAACTCGTTTCGTTTACTCGTTTTTACTCTTCTTTCTCTACATTTTTAGTACACTTCTAAGCAAGTTAGGATTTTCTGCTTTTCACCACGTGAAAAAGCATCTCATCTTCCATCCGAATCAACCAAAAAGTGAAAATTGATTTTTTGACACCTAAGCCCCCTTTCCGTAGACCAGGTCACATATGCAAAGCTTTTTATTCTAATTTATTTTCGATAATTTTTTATAAAAATATTGTTCATTCTACACCAGAAAACATAATAATAAAATCTCTAAACTTTGTGCAAAACTCAGGAAAATTCATAAAATTTGCACACTAATTTGCAAATTTTTATTCAAATTTTTTTAAAGAATTCTAAGTATGCAGTTTTATAGCCCATTCAAATTTAGTATAACAAAGTGCAAGTTTGAAGTCGCTAGAAAAGCGTGTTGATTTTTGGTAATTTTTTTTCACGCAAGTTCTTCCATACAAAGTATATTCGACAATTATTTTTTCTATGGAGAAAATGAGCAACACTTTCCGCTAAAAAAATTGCCAAAAATCAACGCGATTTTCTAGCAACTTTAAACTTGCATTTTGTCATACTGAAATTTAATGGACTATGAAACTGCATACTTAGAATTTTTCTAAAAGTCTGAATAAAAAGTTGCAAATTAGTGCGCAAATTTAATGAATTTTCCTGAGTTTTGCACAAAGTTAAGAGATTTTATTTTTATGTTTTTTGGTGTAAAATGAACTATATTTTTATACAAAATTATCGAACATAAATTAGAATAAAAAACTTTGCATATATTACGAAAAATTCCTGTGCCAATACTTTTGTTCGTCACTGTACATATGTATGTACATAGTTATGTATTGCAATGGGCAGGATACCATAAATCTTGTTAAATGCTAAAAATTACATGTTCCATATCGCAAAATTAACACTTACGGCGCACAGTGTTTCGACTATATGGAGGCAGATAGAAAAACCGGTTGACCGGTTGGACTTACGAGAGGTAAAAGTAAAATACATCAACAATACATTTCCAAAGAAATACGGGAATCGGCGCGATACTGGCGCGATAAGTGGCCTTTGGCGATTAACCCATTAAAGAAAATGTTTCTTTTTCAACTGGAATCAATTATTTGAATATCGTGGTAATTTATACTTTTTTGTACTTTCCTATTTCTTACCAAAAAATTTACCTTGAAATGTAGATGCTAAAGATTATTAGTCAAAAAAAATTTGAGTACCGGTCCGTCCGGTCTTGAAATGAGACGAATATTTTAGAGAATTTTATGTAGTTTTAGAATATATAATTTGATCTTTGCGCGCGACTTTGCAGATATATGTAATTTTTGATTTTCTTAATTTTTGATTTTCGGCCTCTTTTTGCATAATTTCGCGAAAGGAATTTTTCGAACAATGAAAAAATCTCACCAAACATTGGGAAAAAAGCGAGTATTTACACTTAAGTCATTTTATGGTATATCCTTTGATTTCTGAGAGAGGAAAGCAGGAAACAAAAACTAACCAAACCCCACATTTTTCGTCTTTGAAGTTTTACAGGGACCGCCAAGATCTTTTTTAAATACATATATGTATGTACTTTACATAAAACAAGTAATTTTTAAGCAAAAACAAAACCGGCTTCATTTCTCTAATAAAAATTTAAGATTATCGGTAATTTCTTCATGACCCAGTGATCGGATTTAAACCAAATTACTATGGGACCACCTGTGAGGTAACACCTTTCCTTTAAAATCGGTTAGCGTGGCACAAAGTGGTAACATACATAAAAAAAAATATTCCGACGAACTGATAACTTCTTCCTTTTTTGGAAGTCGGTTAAAAAATATATATTCCGATGAACTGATAACCTTCTTCTTTTTATGAAGTCGGTTAAGAAGTTGAAAGACTCTTACAAAATTGACGGCGAAGAAAAACGTGTAAACTTATTTTCGCGGTCAACTGTATTTGCAAGCGTAACAGCATGTAAATTCCCCAAAGAGTTTTTGGGGAATGATGCTGAAGTGACAGTCCTCGGCCAGGTATAAATCTATACGCTTGTACATATCGCTAGCTTACGAGTTAAATGTTGCCAAGTCCATTTTTACCAATTTTACAGGAGGAAAAAACTTCTTAAAGCGATTTTCTTCAAGTATTTCGGAAAACTTTGAATACAACATTTTGCCTGCTTAAAGCAAAGCAAAACTCCATACGAAACAGAAGCATTAGTTCTGTATAAAAAGACTTTATATTATTTGGGCCTTATCGGGGTTTCGGCGCCTGTTTTGGACTTAGCAAATTTTCTTTTCATTGAATATAAAGCAGGCCAATAATTTTTAATTTCTCTAGCCTCTTATATCAAAATATGAGTTTTTATAAAACTTACCAAATCTTTCTTTCCGTAGAAGCAGTATCCTTGATAAAGAAAACAATCGGTAACATGTTGGGATGGCATTTCAGGCTTCCGTTGAACATGATGTGATCGCCCCAGTAATCGAAAGGCAGGCATCCTGCCTAACAGCATACACATAGATATCGTCGTTTAAAGAACAAACCCGCGTATCGTCGTTCTGTAAAACCGCGTAACTGACATTTTTTGCCAAAAAACTTTAAACAACGATATAGTTCGCCTCCACGGCTTTTCACCAAACGAATCGCGCGCAGGGGAAATTCAGGAGAAATATTGTTTCTCCACTTTCTGGAATTTGTGCAATGAAAGCTTTGGATCTAACTAAGGTACAGTCGATGCGGGTAAACCAATTGGCTTACAACTCCTTTACATACTTACATTTGCAATTAACATAATACATACAAACTCACATATAAGCATACATCTTTTTGTAATATCTTGCAATAGAAAACTCTTTGTTTTTGTTTAAAAACTATTAAAAACTATTATTTAATTTATTACTTTTTCTTCTTTCCACTTTATAAATTTAGTTTTACATATATATATATATATTTATATATGGAGACGTAAATAAAACTTTAAAATACAAAGTTTTTATCTTGCATTTGATCTGCTGATTCATTTACGCTTAATTTTTCGTGTTTTTGTTATATTTGTTTCGTTTTTACTCCTGGCTGTGAAACATTTGCGTTACAGAAATCTACAATATTTAGGTAAATACAATCAAACGAAGTGCGTAAAAAAGAAACATATGCCAAGTTCTAAAGTTGGAAGTTAGATAGATAATCAAATGTATGGGATTAATTGCAATAAACAAAAGAGACAGTTATAGAAGTTTGAAAAAAAGAGAAATTCAGATATACATTAATATGAAATGAAGAAAGAAATTTGTATTTGGAAACGTGTATACAAGTTCGGCGCGGAGGGGAGTTTTGGTTTAGTAGAGCAGAGGGCTGTGCGCAACTGTGTATGTAGTTGCATACATATGTATAATATACGTATTTGTATATAAAACTCACATAACTTAATAAATTTATTTGCATAATTAATCATAATAGCGATAGTGATAGTGATATTTTTTTATAACTATAATAGTAGTTTAATTATATGGTAAGTAATAAAAATTAAATTTTCATCCATCCATTGTTTACGATTAAGAATAACTAATATAACTTTCGTTTGTGTTTCTGATGTATTGCAATAACAACTTCGCATACTTGTTGCTGCTATTAACTTGTTCATTGTTGTTGTTGTTTTCTTATAATCAATTTGTTATTTACGTGTTGCTTATTCTTTTTTTTTAACACAAAACTTACGAGGTTTACACCATTTCTTTTTATTTTATTGCAAAGCAAAATGATTTTCTCTGTTTGTGTATATAGCAGTGTTCATGTGCGATTATGTGTGTGTGTGTGTGTATGCGAGTTATTCAACGTCCACTGTGTGTTCAGCGTATGAGCGTTTAGGAAAGGATTGGCGCTTGAGTGCAAGAAAAGAAGTGGCAAAGCACTGCACTGATTTAGTGGCAGAAAAGTCAAGGCCTCTTCTGTAACCAAAACACCGACTGATTTTTGAAGGTTAAGAAAACAGGGAAAGGAAACCAAAAAAAAGGACAAAAAATTAAATAGAAATGTAAAATAAGAAGAGCTTGGTGGTGGACGCATACGACAGACAAAACACAATTATAATTATTAACTGACAAACAAAAAATATTTAATATTTATAGTAAGCGGTTAATGTCATATCGCTCATTTACTAAAAGGCTGTCACAGCAGAAGGGAATATGCATCTGCATTTTCAGCATTTTATGAGTAAATTGAAAATTTCAAACGCTTCTACTGAAAACTTCCGTTTTTTGAGTTGTGACAGTCTTTTAGTAAATGAACGATATGTACATATGTACGTATGTATGTGTGTATTTGGAACTAAATGAACATGCTTTCATGATACTTTTGTTCTGCGATGTCTTAACAATCTCCTTACATATTAATTTGTTTATGTTTGTTTTAAGTTTATGGAGCCATGTTAGGATTTGATTTTCTCTGCACAAGTGGGAGTGGTGTGTATGTGTATTTATGGTTTTTATAAAGAATAATGTATAATTTATATAG